AAGCTAAGCTAGGCTAGACTGAGCTAAGCTAAGATGAGATAAGATATGCTAAGCTAAGCTAAGTTAAGATAGCCAAGCTAAGCTAAACTAAGATAAGTTAAGCTCAGCTAAGCTAAGTTACGCTAAGCTAAGATAAGCTAAGCTAAGATGAGATAAGCTAAGCTAAGCGGCTAGGCTAAGTTAAGCTAAGCCAAGCTAAGCTAGGCTAAGCTAGGCTAAACTGCGGCAAGCTAAGCTACTATGCGATAAGGAAAGCTAAGTTAAGCTAGGCTAAGCCAAGCTATGTTAAGGTAAGCTAAGCTAGGCTAGGCCAAGCTAAACTAAGCTAGGCTAAGCTTAGCTAAGCTTAGCTAAACTAAGCTGAGATGAGATGAGCACAGTTTAGCTAAGATAAGCTGGGCTAAGCTAAGCTAAGGCCAGCTAAGGTAAGGTAAGCTAAGCTAGGCTAGACTAAGCTAAGCTAAGATGAGATAAGCTATGCTAAGCTAAGCTAAGCTAAGCTAAGCTCAGGTAAGTTAAGCTAAGCTAAGCTAAGCTAAGCTAGGGGAACCCAGGGGGCGCGACTGGGGGAACCGCGGGGCGGGGACTGGGGGAACCGCCCGGGGCGCTGTGCACTGCCCAGCCCCTTTAAGCTAAGAGAGTAAGAACCCTTCTAGGCAGAGCCTAGGTAGGGAATCAAGAAGAATATCAAAAATTCCTGTGGGATTCGCGTGGGCATGAGTTCTACGAAAACACATGGCGAGGGCACGCGGTTCACCGACGCACATGCGCATTTTTCGGATTCCCCCCATTCCCCGCCTCCTATCCCGCCTTTCCCTCCTGCCTTCCCCCCCTCCTGTCGCTCCACCCCCTCCCCGGCTGCCTCCTCGTTTCCGTTGCCCTTGGGGCGTTTCGTGGCCCATGGCGTGTGTCCCGTTGCTCATGGCCCGTGGCCCGCGGTCCATGGACTGCTGCCCGTGGCCCGCGCCCCGCTGCCCAGTGGCCGTGGCCCCTGGCCAGTGCCTTGTCGCCAGTGCCTGGGCCGTTGAGTCTAGGTGCCCGGCGGCAGGTAACTGGCAACGCGAGTCGTCATGGCTATGAAATGCTCGGAATCTGAAGGCCCCGGGGATTGCGAAGACACGATTATAGGTCGGCTGGATGGCACGCCCAATAACGCCTGGTTGATCGACCTATGCGCGCGCGTTTTGAATTCAGTTCGTAGCGACTGGCCTCTCGTTGTGTTGCGATTGGCGTGCATTCGCCTTGCTTGCGACTGGGCCGCAATCTGGCTGGCTGGCTTCGGTTCTGAACCGATGATGATGGCGGTCGGCGGGTTTCAATGATATCAGGTTGCGTTCGCGCGTGTAGCCCTGCGAGCTGTGCGCAGCACTTGCCGCGAGCCACAATACATCCCCTTTTTTCCGCCTCCGATTCGTGCCAAGGAGATGATAAGCAAAGTTTGCCCTGTTGGGGTTCGTCTAGTAGTTTTAGGCACGCAGCCACGATGCAATGTTTGACAAGCTGTCCGGTGGCGAGCGCCCATCGGCCATGACCGCTGCAAAGTCGAGGAGGAATCAAAGGACCAGCGCCCAAGAGAACGACGATTCACATGAGAAAAGCAACGAGGCGAACTATATGCACGAGTGCACGAAGGCCACCAGCTGAGCAGCTCCAAGAGCATCACCGAGCTACGAGTGCCACAAGTTGGGCACTTGTGGCCGCAAAACAAACCTCGAAGGCAACACGCAGAGCTACGCATGTCACCTGCGAATCCTCGAGAGCCACAAGCTGCGCTACTACGGCCACCAGCAGAAATTCGTCGGCCGCAAAGACTAGGAGGGCAACTCGCATCTATGGAAGGATTACTAGCGGAACAGTTTATGCTAGCAGCATATCTACAACAGTCCCGAGCAACATTCCGAGGGCAACCGAAAAAACTGCGAGAGCCACCAGCGATGCTACGAGGGCCGCAAGCAAGAGACACGAGGCCACAAGCAGAGCCACTCGGACCACACCCGCGCCACAGCTATGAAATCAAGACGCGGGCATCCCGTGGCTGCCCGCGAGCTACGAGGGCCACGAGCCCGCTGCGATGGCCACAGGCAGAGCTACCCGCACCACGCCCACAGCTGCGAAAGCGGCGGCAAGCAGAACTACGAGGGCCACCAGCGGAGCTGCACAGAACCCCCCCTCCCCCCAAAAAAAATCATGGGCACCCGCAGAGCTGCTTTGGACCACCCGCTGAGCGACGACGGTCACGCGCGCGACCTCGAGGGCAGCATCAGGGCGCGGCACGCCGGCGTGAGGCCGGACGCTCACGACCGCTCCGATGTTGCCGCTGCTGGCTGCCAACGCTCAGAGCCCCGAATCCTCAGGGGTAACTCGGGTCAGGGCTAACTCGGGTTCGTGTTTCGGGAAACCAAACCCGAGTTACCCCAGACCCGAGTTACCCCGGATAACTCGGGCGTCCAGAGCCCCGAATCATCAAGGGTAACTCGGGTCAGGGCCAACTCGGGTTTCTTTTTCGGGAATCCAAACCCGAGCTACCCCGGACCCGAGTTACCCCGGATAACTCGGGCGCCCAAAACGCTTGGGCCGCCGCCGAGCCCCCAACGGTGGGCCGTCGCCGTCTCGTGCAGGTCTCTTGCAGACCGGCGTGCTCAGAAGACCGTCCTGGCAGTTTTTCGGGGGATGCTAAAGGTGCCCCTGGCCCAAGGCGCCCCCAGCTTTTCCCTCCAGTTTGGAGCCCCTGGAGGCCTCTGGGCCTCGTGGGGGGTGCTCTGGAGGCCGTGGGGGCCTCCTCTGACATCCTGGGGGGCACCTTTGGCCAGGGGCACTTCTAGCAGCATCCGAGTTTTCTGCTGTCGCTCAGTCTGGCTTCCCTGCACCCCCACTGGTCCGCAGTCGGTTGCTGGCACTGCTGGAGGCCGCCTGGCGCCACCGGACGCCACTGGACGCTGGAGGCCACGGAGGGCCAGCAGAGGAGCCACCGGAGGAGCCACCGGAGGTCGCCCGAGGCCCGCGGGGTGCCACTGGAGGAGCCACCGCGTCCGCGCAGGTGACTTCGAAAGTCTCCGGGGAGCGTCTTCTGAAGGGTGTGCCCTCGGTGCCCTTGCGGAGCGGAGTGGGATCCTCCTGGTTCCTCCCGCGGGGCGTTGGGCGGCCGGGCCCAACCCACCTGCCAGCACGGCCAGACGCAGCATTCCTCACGTTGCTCTTCTGTGCTGTCTTCCTTTCTGAGTGAACGGTTCTTGTCTCATCCCCTCCCAACCCCCGTGTGGGAAGTAACAGCGCTGGCGGGCGTTCCTGAGCCAGGCGGCGTTTCTCGGCATCGCTGGGTTACCTTGTTATCGGCTTTTCAACAGGCGTGCGGTCATTAGGCACGCAGGAGGATCATGGAAAAGGGACGAAGGGGGGGGAAGAGCAAGAAGGGAGATCTGAGAAGGATGAGACGGAGGAAATTGGAGGAAGGGGCGTTGAGCGAATGTGGGATGGAGGAGGAAGGGAGGGATGGAGAGCGAAAAAGTGATGTCAGAGGGAAAGACTGGGAGGAGAAGGAGGACATGCAGGAGAGGGGGAATCCGAGGATGAATAGGAGGAATCCAGGCTTCTAGCTGGCAGCAGGGAGCCCTTGGGTAAGCAGTTGGATGGACATTGCTCGCGATCCGATCCCACCCTCCTTACCTCTACGATCCCGTCTCTTTCGACCCACCTGGGCCATGAAATCAGGATCCTCAACCCTCAAGTAAGTAGACAATTCTTGAAGAGGAATGGCTTCAAGAGTCATGGCTTTGCGGAAGTGCGACTAGTTGCTGATGATATACACACATTAGTTTATACACAGCTGTATCTATGAATATGTATATATATATATATATATATGTATACATGTATGTATGTATAGCTATGTGTGTGTGTGATGCATGCTTGTGGGTTAGAGGACCATGGAAGGGGTCATCGCGCGCCCTCTCGCTGTTTATCCTTGCGCGCGCCGCCTGAGCAGTCGCGCCGCTGGCGCGCGCATTTGGTGGCGAATCCCTCATTCATGCGACGGCCCTGCCATGCGGAGCCGAGAGAACCGCACACGTACTGGCGCAGAGGCGGGGACGTTGGCGACGTCTGTGCGGATCTCTGGTTTTCTGGGCGGTGCCGACGTCCCTGGTGGTCAATGTCCCCGTTTGCGCGGTCGCCTCATTCGCAGAACGTGCTCCAATTCAGCACGGTGGGTGCAGTTGAGGGAGGGACCCCGCCTGAGAGCCCCATGGGGCGCTCCCAAGAGGCCACGCGCCTCGGGTACATCGAGAGAGAGAGAGAGACAGTTTCGTTGTTCTTGGCAGTGCTCGGAGGTGTTTTTTTTGGGGGGGGGCGTGGACGATCGAAGAGCAGACTGGATCATCATACGAACACACACACACACACATATATATATATATATATACACACGAAGTCGAAACATGCACCGGCCTGCCGCTCGGAGACCCCCGGGCCTCCGAACTCCGAGCCCACGCGTCCTGCATCCGAGCTCCGGGCATGCTCTCCTGCGCTTCGGCCGCACACCGGGGGAGGGGCCCCCCAGACGGGGTGGTGACCACACCGTGAGGCGAGGGGCCCCCAAACGGGGGCCCCCAAACGGGGGAGGGGGACCTCGAGAGTCCAAACTTGGGAGGGGGCCCCCAAACGGGGAGGGGGCCCCCAAACGGGGAGGGGGTGGATCCCGGGTCACCGCACGGTTTTGGGAGTCGGGTCGTTCTCCGAGGACGTCTCGGGCGATTGGGGCATCCAAGAGCCCAAAACCGTGCGTCGACGGAGCGTGCAGTGAGGTCCTGGGGGCTTTCGAGGTCGCCGCACGGTCTGTCACCGCACCGTTTCCCAGACTCCAAACAGGGGAGGGGGACCTCGAGAGGCCAGGGGGGCAGCTTTGAGCGCCGCTGAGACACATCGCCTCGGGCTTCCGCGGACGGAGCTCGGCTGCCAGACGCTGTCTGGTTCCTTGGCGTCGGGTTTCAGAGGCGGGGGCCAGTGCAAACGGTGTCCGCCAGAGCGCCTGATCTTGCAGGATCCTGCAGAGCCAGGGGCGCATTGACCCGGGTTTGGGTGCAGGATCTTGCAGGGTCTTGCAGGATATTGCAAGGCCCGACTGCCCCGGGCGTGTATTGATCCAGGTCAGTGCGTCACCGACGGCGTATGTCATGGAACCTTGCGGAGTACGCGGTGCGCCCTTTCATGTCACGACCGTTGAGCCGAGCTCGGTGGAGGGAGCTGTTTCGTTCCCAGAGTTGCTGCTGGTGGTTCTCTGCCTTCCCCTCCTCTTCCTCCCTCCTCTCCGTCCTCCTCGTCCTCCCGCGCTGCATCCGAATCGTTGCTCATGTGATTCGTTGTTTTGTCCACCCATCTCACAAGATGGGGCTATTGTTGTTACGTAGTACGTAGTTTGACGTCTCTGCCTCCTCTCTTGCTCACTTCATTCATCCCTTCTCCTCCCCCTCCTCCTTTCCATCTTACTCAGACTCACTCAAACTCAGATTACCCATACTCAGACTCACTCGCACTTGGACCCACTCACGCTCACACTTCTTCCGAATCGCTCACACTCAGACTGACTCGTACTCTGACCTACTCATATTCAAACTTACTCATACTCAGACCCACTTACCCTCGGACTTCCACGCCCTCAGACTCACTCGCACTCAGACTCAATGGCACTCAGACTCACTCGCACTCGGACGATTCGCAGATTGTGAAGATCTCTCGCGCGAAGCATTGTTTCCATAGCACTTCGAATGGGATCCGCACGGGATGGTGGTACTACATTCGTCGCGTCCAGAGAATGTGGATATCTCAAGCGATTCGCCTGTTTCGGCCTCCCAGACGCTCTCGCTTGCAGAGCAGATTGTGAGTATGTCTCAGGTGAGGCGCTGGTTTCAGCACCCCAAGGGAGAGAGAACGGGAGATTGTGGAGTCGCAGGGGTTCAAAAGCGCGCGCGCGAGGGTTTCGCGCTGAGTTCGCGACTGTTTCTGTGCAAATTCTGCTCTGTGTCGTCCTCCTCCTCTCCTCCTCCGCCCCCTCCTCCTCCTCCTCCTCCTCCTCCTCCTCCTCCTCCTCCTCCCTCTCGCCCTCCTGCTACCTCTCTGCCTTTTTTTTTTTTTTTTCTCCAGGCGCCCCCCCCCCCCCAGAAAAAAAAGAAAAAAAAACTAAAAAAAGGAGTTTGTTTTCTGGGGGGGGCGCCAGGAGAAAAAAAAAGGAGTGCGACGTGACCACATCTGCCCTCCCCCCTAGAAGGATTCCTATTGGACGCCCCCATATGAAGGATTCACAGTAAAATCCTCGACAGAAGGGTTCCTATCGAAACCCTCCACTGAATGATTCCTACCGAAATCCTCCACATGTGGATTCCTACTGAAACCCTCCACTGAATGATTCCTACTGAAATCCTCGAATGGCAATGGCAATGGTAATGGTACTGGTAATGGTACTGGTACTGGTAATGGTTACGGTAATGATAGTGGTAACGGGGTAGCGAGGCAATGACAATGGCAATGGCAACGGTAATGGTAATGGCAATGGCAATGGGAATGGCAATGACAATGGCAATGGCAATAGTAATGGCCATGGCAATGTTAATGGTAATGGTAAGGGTAGAGGTAAAGGTAGAGTTAAAGGTAATGGTACTATTAAGGGTAATGGTACTGGCAATGGCAGTGGTAATGGTAATGGTAATGGTAATGGGAATGGAAGTGGGAATTGGAACGGGAACGGGAATGGAAATGATGGTGGTAGTGGTAATGGTAATGGCATTGGTAATGGTAATGGTAATGGTTCTGGAAATTGTAATAGTATTGGGAATGGGAATGAGAATGGGACTTCTAATGGTAATGACAGCGGTAGTATCATGGTAATGGGAATGGGAGTGGAAATGGTACTGGCAATGGTAATGGTATGGACGAATGGCAATGGCAATGGTGATGGTAACGGTAATGGTAATGGCAGAGGTAATGGTATTGGTAATGGTAACGGTATTGGTAATGGTAAGGGGGTAGCGATTGGCAATGGCAATGACAATGGCAACGGTAATGGTAATGACAATGGCAATGATATTGGCAATGGCAATGACAATGATAATGGACATGGCAATGGCAATGGTAAGTGTAATGATAATGGCAATGGTAATGGGAATGGAACGGGAATGGGAATGTGAATGAGAATAAGAACGGGAACGGGAATGGAAATGGTAGTGGTAGTGGTAACGGAAATGGGAATGATAAGGGTAAGGGTAAAGGTAAAGGTAGAGGTAAAGGTGATGGTAATGGAAATGATAGTGATAATGGTAATGGTAATGGTAATGGTCATGAGAATGGGAATGGCACTGGAAATGGTACTGGCAATGGTAATGGTAGTGGCTAATGGCAATGGCAATGGCAATGCGAATGGTAATGGTAATGACAGGGGTAATGGTAATGGTACTGGTAATGGTAACGGTAATGATAGTGGTAACGGGGTGGCGACTGGCAATGGCAATGATAATGACAACGGCAACGGTAATGGCAATTGCAATGGCAATGGCAATGGCAATGGCAATGGGAATGACAATGGCAATGGCAATTGCCATGGCAATGGCAATGGCAATGGTAATGGTAATGGCAATGGTAATGTGAATGGGAATGGGAACGGGCATGGGAATGTGAATGGGAATGGGAACGGGCATGGAAATGGCAGTGGTAGTGGTAACGGAAATGGGAATGGTAAGGGTAAGGGTAAATGTAAAGGTAGAGGGAAAGGTAATGGTAATGGTAATGACAATGGCAGTTGTAATGGTAATGGTAATGGTATTGGGAATGGGAATGTTAATCGGAATGGTAATGGTACTGGCAACGGTAATGGTAGTGGCGAAGGGCAATGGCAATGGCAATGGTAATGGTAAGGGTAGTGGCGAATGACAATGGTAATGGTAGTGGCGAATGGCAATGGCAATGGCAATGGTAATGGTAATGGTAATGACAATGACAGGGTACTGGGAATGGTAATGGTGACGATAACGGTAATGGTAATGGTTATGGCAATGGTAACGGGTTAGCGATTGGCAAATGGTAATGGGAATGGCAATGGCAACGGCAATGGCAATAGCAATGGCCATGGCAATGGTAATGGTCATGGTCATGGTAATGGGGTAATGGTAATGGGAATGGGAATGGGAATGGGAATCGTAGTAGTAATTGGAACGGGAACGGGAATGGAAATGGTAGTGGTAGTGGGAAAGATAATGGCAATGGTAATGGAAATGGTACTGGTAACGGTAATGGTAATGGCAATGATGATGGGAATGGGAATTGTAATGGTGATGGCAGCGGTAATGGTAATGGTAATGGCAATTGTGTTGGTAATGCTAATGATAATGGCAATGGTAATGGTGGTGGCGAATGGTAATGGTAATGGGAATGGTAATGGTAATGGTAACGGTAATGGTAACGGGGTGGCTACTGGCAATGGCAATACCATGGCAATGGCAACGGCATTGGCAATGGCAATGGCAATGATAATGATAATGACAATTGTAATGGCAATGGTAATGGCACTGGCAATTGTAATGGCAATGGTAATGGCAATGGTAATGGTACAGGTAAAGGTAAAGATAAATGTAAAGGTAATGGTAATGGTAACGGTAATGTGAATGGGAATGGGAATTGGGATGGGAATGGTAATGGTAATGGTATTGGGAATGGGAATGGAATGGGAATGGGAGTGGGAGAGATTGAGAGAGAGAGGGAGAGAAAACGAGAGAGGAAACATCAGCATAATGATGAGGAACAAACTGAAATATTGTAAATTTTCGTTTAAAACCCACAGCGACTCCACAATCCCCCAGCCTCGAGAACAGGGGATTCGCCAGGGGTGGGGCTACTCCCCCATTCGCAGCCAGATTGTGGGGATGTCTCGGGTGGGTTGCCAGCACCCCAAAGGGGAACCGCCAGGGGTGGGGTCACTCCCCCATCCGCAGCCACATTGTGTGGATGTCTCAGGCGGGTTGCTTGTTTGGTTGCCCAGAATCCTCCGCTTCCAGAGCAGACTTCGAGGATGTCTCAGCCCGACCGCTGGCTTCAGCACCTCAAGGGGGGCAGTTGCCCAGGGAGGTGTTGCGGCCCCGTTCGCGCCCAGATGTGGGGATATATCAGGTGGTTTGCTCGTCTGGTTGCACAGGCTCCTTTTGCTTTCAAGGCAGATGGTGAGGATGACTGAGGGCAATCTGCCCAGTTGGTCGCCTAGGCTTCTTCCTGCTTTCAGAGCAGGGCATGCCCCAAGCGGTTTGCCTGTTTGGTGGCCCAAGTTCTTTTGCATTGCGAGGCTGTTCCAGCCGAGGCGCTGGCTTCAGCACCCCAAGGGGCCACCAGGGTGTCTCGAGGAAGGCGCTGATTTAAGCACCCCAAAGGGCCGCCAGAGAGCAGCTTTTGATTGCGGTGGTCTCAAGCGAGGCGCTGGCTTCAGCCCCCTCAAAGGGGAAGCCGCCAAGGGATAGGATGCTCGCCCGTTCGCTGCCAGGGCGAAGCGAGGCGTTCGTTGTTGCACTTCAGACTCCTGTTCATTTAGGGCCCTATGATCACATCGATGTACGGAAAAGGGCGGCCGCCATGGAGGAGCAGGGAGGACGAAGGAGGAGTGATAATCCCGCAGGAGGAGGAAGAAGGGAGGAGGGAGGAAGAGAGCGGAGGGGCTACGGAGAGGAGGAAGGGGAAGGAGAGGGGAGGGGGCCGCCAGGAAGCGACACTTGCCAGGAAGGAACAGGAGGGAGGACGGAGGAGGAGGGAGGACGAGGAGGAGGAGGGAGGAGGACGCAGGAGGAGTGAGAAGGACGGCCGCCAGGGAGGATAAGCGAGGACGGAGGGAGAAGGAGTGGGGCATAGGATGAGGTAAGAGATAGGAAGGAGAAGGAGGAGCAGGGAGGGGTACGACGAGGAAGAGGAAGGAGAGTGGAGGGACTTGCTCACCGCCTGTTTGTGAGTTGTTGTCGTTGTCGTCGCGGTCCCTCATCGTAGCGGTTGTCGTCGGTCGTCGACGCATTTGCCCTCTCTTTGCACTCGCACCCACACCCATGCACTCACAGCCAGACGCTCCCTGCGGGACGTGCCAGGAAGTGAGATGCATTTGGGAGGATCTCGTCGAGTAATATTCAAGGGAGGCAAAAACACCCGGACCCGATCATTGGTGTTGCTAAACGGCCCTGGGCGTTTACTAAACAGCCCTGCCCTGTGTGCCTCTTTCTGTGGGTGCGTTGACTAAACGGCTTCGCGTGTCGGGGTGGCGGGAGTTGGGTTTTCGCTCGTTTTTGTTCTTCGCAATGTTGTTCCGCTGAAGCGGTGCCCCCATTTCTGCGCCTCTGGTTGTTCCAGATCGTGCACCCGCTGCAGCGCGAGCGTTTTCGGTTTTCCCAGATAGGCCCCAAAATCTAGAAAATGCTCCCCCCCCGGCAAAAAAAAACACCGGAAATGATTACACATTCGGTGTCGATGCGTTGATTTGTTCTGCCACGTTGGGGCGTCGTCGTTTTGAGGAAGTATCAAGGAACCTAGCGCCATGCCATGACATGCTGTGCGTTGTTGTGTTCTGCGCCGCTGCGCGATGCCATGCTTTGCGTTGCAATGCTTCACTGCGCACTGCCACTTCATGCTGTGGCATGCTACGCTCTGCCGTGCTCTCTTCCGCGACGCCATGCCGTGCTCTGCCATGCACCGCGCACCCCAGCCTGCCCCCCCCCCTCGCCATCTCCCCCTCCCCTCGTCCCCCTCGCCCCTCGCACCCTCGGGGGCTTCGTCCCATCTCGCCCCTCGCACCCTCGGGGGATCCTCGTCCCCTCGTCTCCCTCGCCCCCCTCGCACCCTCCCCTCCCCCCTCCCCCCCCCTCCCCCGCTCCTCCTCCCCCTCGCCACCTCGGGGGGTCGCACTGTGTCCTGGCATCGCTCGGACGTGTGCATTTTTTCTCGGCGAGGGCCATCGAGGAGCATACTTGATCATTTGGCGAAAAAAACACGCACAAAACCGGGAAAAAAAACACAGGGAACGGACGTCCGAGCGATGCCCAGGTGTGGGGGGGGGGGGGGGGGCACAGCGGCTCCCCCCCGCCCCTCGCACCCTCCCCTCCCCCCTCCCCCCCCCTCCCCCGCTCCTCCTCCCCCTCGCCACCTCGGGGGGTCGCACTGTGTCCTGGCATCGCTCGGACGTGTGCATTCTTTCTCGGCGGGGGCCCTCGAGGAGCGTCCTTGCTCATTTGGCGAAAAAGCCACGCACGAGACCGAAGAAAACACAGGGAATGGACGTCCGAGCGATGCCCAGGTGTGGGGGTGGGGGGGGGGGGGGGGCAGCCCCGGGGGTTCGTCCCATCTCGCTCCTCGCACCCTCGGGGGATCCCCCTCCCCTCGTCCCCCTCGCACCCTCCCCTCCCCTCGCCCCTCTCCCCCTCTCCTCCCCCCCTCGCCACCTCGGGGGGTCGCACTGTGTGTGCAGGGGGGGGGGGGGCACAGCGGCTCCCTCGCCTCCGAGCCGTGCGCCCGCTGGCGCTCCTGGCGGCCGCCGGCGGGCTCAGCCCGGGCGTGCGGGCGCTGACGCTGGGCGGGCAAGGCGCGGTCCGGGGTGAGCCTCCGGGCAGCAGCACCGCGCGGGGCAGCGTCGGGGGGGGGGGGCCCTCGGGAGGAGCGAGGCGCTCGAGGGGGGTCGAGGGGGAGCGGGGAGGCTCGGGGAGGCTCGAGGGGGGCTCGAGGAGGCTCGAGAAGGCTCGAAGGGGCTCGAGGAGGCTCGAGGGGGCTCGAGGAGGCTCGAGGACGGGTCGGGTGAGCCTCCGGGCAGCAGCACCTCGTGGGTCCTGAAGCTCCTCCTCCTCCTCCTCCTCCTCCTCCTCCTCCTCCTCCTCCTCCTCCTCCTCCTCCTCCTCCTCCTCCTCCTCCTCCTCCTCCTCCTCAAGCCATCCCGGCTCAGAGCATTTTGCCCTGAGACAGCCCTCGCCTCCCCGTGGCGTTTGAGGGACACCTGGCGGGGCAGAGGAAGGCGCCTTCGCTTCCCCAGGTTGACTAAGGAGGGCAGATCACCTTCTTTCCTGAGCCATGGTTAAAAAGAAGTCGAGTGGTAGAGCGGCTCCCTCGCCCGAGACCACAGAGCCACCCGAGTCTGGATGGTCCACATGTCAGCATTGTGGTCGGCAGGAGTGGAATCGCATTCTATGGAAGCAACAATGCCGTTGTCCGAAGCGCCAGTCTGTAGTCACGCTGCATCGGCCCAAGACATCCAGCAACCAGTTGGCGCTTGCACCCTCCCCTTCAAGCACGAGATCGGGAATTTCGAGTACACCGCTGTCAGCTTATAAGCAGGCGCTGAGTGTCACCACCGACCCCGCGCTGAAGGCCATCCTGGAGGCACACATCGGCCAACTGAAGGACGAAGAGATCTCACCCGAGAAGTGCATCACGCCTGAGGAGTCCCTCAGGCGGGCCACTGCCGCGGTGCGAGACGCAGCCACCAAACATGATCAAGCAGTTTCAGCTCTTCTTCGGGCACGCGAGGTCCTTGAGAAGGCCACTGAGCGTGAAGCTACGGCGGCCCTCACCCTCGCCAAGGCGGAGAAGTCCAAGCTTCAGGCCGTGCGGGCCCTCGCCGAGCTGAATGGAGTGGTCGCGAAGACGGCCAAGGACAGCCACGGCGTCGACGGGAACGACAGCAAGAAGCTCATCTCCATCTCGTGGGACGAGGATTTCTTCAGCACGCTCGACAAGCTCGAGGTCAGCGAGACCGAACGGGCGGATCTCAAGCAGCTGGAGAACGACTTGAAGGGCGTTCGCGACCTGGTCGGCACCAAGTCCTCCGAGGTAGAGCGCATGCTCGCGCGCATGGCGAAGATGAAGGAAGACATCATGGTTCGCATGGCCAAGAAGAGGAAGGGCCCCGACGGCGTGGCCACGGGCAGCCCCGACGGCGGCGGCAGCGGCGGCGAGCCTGGCGGAGCCCGTGGGGGCGACGACGGGCGCACCGCGGCGGAGGCCACGCCAGTTCGCGACGACCAGGCCGACGCCGAGCTCGCCGAGGAGGCGCGGCGGCTGAGCGAAGCCAAGCTCGCCGCCGCCCAGGCCGCTCAGGGGGCAGGCCTGAGCGGCAAGTGACCTACAAGACGAGGCCTCTCGAGCGCGCAGTCAGCTGGGGCATCGACTGCATCGAGATCGGCCTCGACGGGGATTGAGCAGCCTTCGAGTGGTGAGACGCAGATTTTTTTGCTAATGTCACTCAGCTCAGCAAGAAATCGCGGGGGGGTCCCACCAGTAGTAGGGCTGCCAATTATCACATTTTAGCTTTAGTGGAGACCCACATCGGGTCCAGTGATGACGTTTCTCGGTGGAAGTCCGAGGCCTCGAAGGCCAAGTTCAAATGTTTCTTGAACCCTGCCCGCGGCACGGGAAACAGCACGACCCAGTCGGGTCAGTCCCGCGCCAACGAAGGGGGTGAGTGCATCTTTGCCAGGAAGCACTTACCAGTCCATTCACTTGCTCAGACCAACGGGGCTTGGAAGGACCTTACAGTCGACGGTTCCGCCAGCCTCGATGGTTTCTCTGCCGTGGTCTGCCATCAGAAAGGTTTTTCGTTCATTCTAGTTTCTTTTTACGCCTACTCGGGCGAAGGGCACAGGGGCCGAAACCTCCCTCGGTTCGCTCGGCTCGGGGCGATGCTGCTGCAGCGTCGATTACCTTGGGTCGTTATCGGGGGCTGGAATCTGCCACCCGAGACTCTACAGCGAGTAGGCTTCGTTGACAAGGTAGAAGGAGTCATCTACAAGTGCCCGTTGCAATCCACATGCTCTCTAGGTTCTGGCACTCACATAGACTACGTACTGGCCAGCAGAGCCAGCGTACCGTTTGTTTCCCGTCTCGAGGCCCGAGTTGATGTTCCCTGGCGCCCGCGTTGCGGGCTTGTCTTGGTTATCCGCAGCTCTTGCCAGCAGCTGATTTGCCGAGAGCTCTGCGTGGCGCCCAAATTGCCGCAGGCCCCGAGGCCGAAGCTCCAGCCGCAAGTAGGTTCCAAGTCTAGTATGAAGAAGGCTGCCGACGCTATGAAGCGCTTAGCAGCCCGTGTTTCTACAGACGAATGTTACCAGGAGTTGTGCGGTGATTTGAACGAGGGCGGTCCTCAATCAAGCCACCCGACTCGACATTTCTTCGGGGACTCGGACGATGAAGGCGGTTTCCCTGGGGCCCCTCTTTCCCTGGTCTCCCTTGTGGGGCCTTCCTCCTCTGGCGGGGCGCGGGTTTCCACGATGTCCGAGTCCCAAGATTTTGATTTCAACAGCGAGCTCGATCAAGAAGCCCACGAGCCACCCTTCGAAGTTGAGGCCCCCCCAGTCCCGCCTGCGGCTAGCGACGCAGGCTGCAGCTCCCCAGGTAGTCAGTCTCCCTCCCCTTCCCTCCCTCCTCTTCCGACGTTCCACATCCCCGACGAGTCCTGGGAAGCCGCCGAGCGGGACGTGGGTTACGTTCCCGTGAGGTCTACGCAAGAAGTATGGCCTGTCATTCGGGATTCTGGAGCCTTTCACGTGGGTCGTGAACATATTATGAGCATCAGCGCACTCTATTCGCAGTGGGCGCGCACCGTCGAGCATGCCATATGTACACATCATTGTGAGCAGCAGCCCAGTCTTTCTCGCTCACAAGGCCCAGTTTTTCTCGAGCGAGTGCTACATATGTTAGATAAGGTTCGATCGGAGCCGCTACACGGGCAGGTAGCTTGCTGGTGGGGGAGAGTGCATACGGTACTTCAGAATCTTTGTCATCACGTGACTAAAGGGAATGGGGAAGTACAGCGCTCTCGTCTGGTTGCAGCGTGTCGTGCCTTAGCTTGCGATATTCCAGAATCAGTTCATCTACCGCTCGCCTCGCTGGATCCTGCCGACGGAGCGTGGTCTCTCCGGCAGTCGAGGCTGATGCACGTGGAGGAGGTCAGCCTCCCGATATTGCAGACGCTCTGTTCAGTTGCCAAGCGAGTCGCTGGGCGTGCCAGGCGGAGGGGCCTTCAAAGCTCACTCAGCGAATTCCGTGAATGGGTTTCTTCTCCCGAGGCTTGTGGGGCCCTGCATAAAAACCTGAAGGCCGCCCCCCCCCTTCCTCCGAGATCGAGGTCGGGGGGGGGGAAATGATTTTTCATCCCCGGGATGTTTTAGATCAGAAGGACAAGAAGTGGCATCAGCTTTGGAGCCCAGGCGACGTCTCACTTGACTCTTTAGGCCAGTTATTTGATCGCATTCGCGCAGCTGCCGAAGACGATCAGCTGCCTGTTCTCTCTTGCGACCGAGTGGAAGCCGCGCTCAAATGTATGAAAGCACGTGCTGGTCAAGGGGTGGATCAGCTTTCACCTACAGACATGCAGCGGCTTCCACACGGAGGGCTACTTCAGCTCGTGCATCTGTTGCAAGCCTGCGAGGCTCGGATTACGTGGCCATGGCAAGTCCTACTGGTCATAGGAAGGTTACTGGGGAAGAAGTCTGGAGGTGACAGGGTGATCGGGCTGATGGCCATGCTCACTAGAGCGTGGTCATCAGCTCGTGAAGAAGATGTTCGCCTCTGGACCTCCTCCTCAGAGCCTGCGTGGGATGCCGCGATCCGAGGTAACTCTGCACTTCGTGAGGCTTTCGTTCGAGCCTTGCAAGATGAAACTTGCATGCGTTTGGGGATCGAGTTCGGCGAGGGTTTAATCGATGTCGAGGCCTTTTACGACTCGATGTCTTGGGAAGCTCTTGTTGATACCTCTCTACGATTACAGTTTCCTGCTACTGTTCTCGGATTAGAACTTCAGAATTGTGTCGCCCCGCGTACCCTCGCTCAAGACGGGTGTTTTTCGACCGCCTTCCAGCTTTCGCGGAGCATCGTCCAGGGCATTCGGAGTGGTGTTCGTTTTGGGAGATGCATGGTTTACTTTATTCTGGCTAAAATCACCACGGCGCACGTTGGGGCCTCCATGAGGATTTGGGTTGACGACCTTTACCAGCGGGTGATGGGGTCCAGGAAAGTGGTCCGTGCTCAGCTCTTCGGGTGCCTCCGCGACACTTGCGACGAGCTCGGCAAGGCAGGGCTGAAGGCAGCCTCCAAGAGTGTTTTAGTGTGCTCGCAGTCCAGCGATGGGAAGCTGATTGCAGCCAAGCTCAAGAAGTTGGGCTACACAGTCCACAATGGTTTACAAGCTCAGTACCTTGGCGTGGACCTCGGTGCTGGCCGTCCTGCTCGCTCCTCACGGCGCAAGCGTGTTGTCAAAGCTTCTGTTATGACAGGTAAGATTCGCAAGTTCGCGAGGGCGTCTCGGAGATATCAGGTCACTGGGCGTCTGGAGCGAGCAGGGGCCCAAGCAGCTGGCTCGCATGGGCATCAAGTTCACGGGCCCTTTGGATATCATCGCGTTGGTTTTCGGCGCCGCCTTGGAGCAGCTCTAGGCTCCAAGCAGAAAGGACGGTGCCTTACTACACCTTTGGACTTGAAGGCTCCAGGAGCTGACCCGTTCGTGAAATTCCCCAGGGATACTATGAAGCTCTGGCTTGACACGTGGTTTAGTTTTCCTGATGTTCGTCCCATGGTCCGTCAGGCTTGGCCTCAGGTTGTTCGGTGCCTCCAGAACATCATCCCGTCCCAGTTCGCTAGACAGGTTCGAGGCCCTATGGGAGCTCTTATTGGGTATATGCTTGAGGTTGGTTGGACTCCCACGTCTCCCACCGAGTGGACTACGCCAGGGGACGAAGGTGCTCACTGGCTTTTTCCCGACAGTGGCCTCACAGGTTTCGAGGGCACTTCAGAGGTGCTCGACGAATTTCAACAATCGTTTCAAGACGCCGCTTGGGCGAAGGCAGCGCAGCACTACTGTGGCGAGGGTTCTTCCCAGGGGGTCGACAACACCAGTTACCGTCGGTTCCTTCGGAGTCTCCAGGGCAGCAAGCACGGGCATCGCCTTTCGGAAACGATGATCAACGTGGCTACTGGGGGTTTCTGGCCTCGGCAAAGGGTAAACGACGAAACTCGACATCGTCTTAGTCCAGATTGCCCGAGGTGCAAGGAGCAGCCCGAGACACCACTACATCGGTTTTGGCTATGTCGATGCAATAGTGCGGAGCACAAGGCTTTGAAGCAGTCCGAGGATCTAGTTCCTCGTGCAGTCTCTTGCGGCGAGAGCGAAGCATGTTTTTGGTTCCGAGGGCTCATCCCTCGCGCCTGGACGGCCGTACCCCCAGCTAGTACCGAGCCTCAGTGGGTCACTGTTGGGGAGAACGAGCCGCCAGAGCTGAACGACGCTACGTTGGGAGAGGGGCGTATTTGGGAACCAGTCATTATCTTTGGAGATGCTTCTGGAGGCCCAGATGCTCGGGAGCCAGCTTTCAGGCGTGTAGGAGTTGCAGCTGTTACTTTGGCATCGTACGATCCTCCAGTCGTCCGCGCAGGAGTTTTAGGCCCTCTCCCAGGTAGGAAGCAGACAGTGCCCCGCGGAGAACTTCAAGGGCTTATGTTGGCCCTCCTGTACTCCAGAGGCCCTTTGATTTACGTCACCGATGCTTCAGGAGTTTGTGATGGTTGGTATAATGGGTTCTACGAGAGACCCGCTGGGGAGAGTATGGGGGCTTGGGATACGATTCGGTCTATTATCCAGAGTACAGAGCGTGACGCGTCACTTATCTCCGTCCTCAAAGTAGACTCCCACCTCTCCCCAGCCCAGATTATTCAGCAGAATAGTCCGAGGTTTCTGGTCGTAGGCAACACGGTTGCCGGCGAACTTGCAGGTGTAGCGGCACAGCGATGTCGCCTGGACAGCACCCATCGGGCCCGCGTCGTGCAGGTCGAAATAGATGCTTTGCGTGTTCGGTGCAGACTGCTGAGAGTCGCCCTGGAGGTTTTCAGCTCGGTTTCCTAGGCGCAGCAGCCTCGACGTCGGGGCGAACGGCGCGGCGGCGGAGGCGCCCAGGACGGGGGCGTCGTGGAGCCGCCCCTGCCGCCTCCTCTCCCTCCTCCTCCCTCTCCTGCCGCCCTGTCCGTTTTCCATTCGTCCCACCGCCTTGGACCTAGTGGTCGTTTCTGCTTGCGCTGTAAGGGGTCTTCCTCGGTCGACACTGCCACTGAGTGGCGATCTACCCCTTGTTTTGATCTCGTTCCTGGGAGCTCCAATGTCTTGCATTCGCCCGCTGGTCAACCCTTGTATCTTTGTGGGGGCTGGGTGGGGTCGTCTCACAAGATGGCTTTTCACAACGGCTTGGGGGTGTGGCATTGTACAACGTGTGGCTTCTTTTGTAACGAGCTCCTGTCTCAAGGTTTGAAAGCGTCTTGCACTGGGCTGCTTAACCCCACCAGAAGAGAATATCTCCGAAGGTTGGCACGAGGGTTGTGGCCTAAGGCGCTCGCCCGAGCTCAACAGGCAGCACGAGCCTCGGGTGGCTAGTGACTCGGATCACCTCGTGATGGCGTCCACTCCACTCCACTCCTCCTCCTCCTCCTCCTCCTCCTCCTCCTCCTCCTCCTCCTCCTCTGCTGCTCCTCCTCCTCCCTCCCTCCTCCTCCTCCTCCTTCTCCTCCCCTCCTCCTCCTCCTCCTCCTCCTCTCCTCCCTCCTCCTCCCCCTCCTCCTCCCTGCTTCTCCTCCTCCTCCCTGCTCCACTCCTCCTCTCTCCTCCTCCTCCTCCTCCTCCTCCTCCTCCTCCTCCTCCTCCTCCTCCTCCTACTCCTCCTCCCTCCTCCCCTCCTCCTCCCTCCTCCCTCCTCTCCTCTCCTCCTCCTCCTCCTCCTCCTCCTCCTCCTCCTCCTCCTCCTCCTCCTCCCTCCTCCCCCTCCTCCTCCTCCTCCTCCTCCCGAGGCGCCGCACCGCACTGTCGGGGGCCCCCAAGCGGGGGGGTGACCACACCATACGGTGAGTTGGTGGGGATTCGGGGTCACCGCACGGTTTTGGGGCTCGGGGTCCCTCTTCGAGGACGTCTCGGGCGACGGGGGCCTTTCTAGGGTCCCAAGACCGTGCGTGGACGGACCGTGCGGTGAGGTCTTGGGGGATTTCGAGGTCACTGCACCGTCCGTCACCGCACCGTTTCGGGACTCCCATGGGGCGGGGGCGGGGCTCCTGCGGGAGCCAGGCGCTGTCTGAAGTCGGGCGTGTCCCTTTTGACAGGAGGAGTCTTCGAAGGTTGTCAACAAAAATGGTCTGGGGGCGATTTTTGTTTTAGAGCATTTGTGTGATATTGTTTTTCCAGCTCTCCTGAGTGGGGTTCTCATTTTGAACAGAGCAGCGTGGTCGCTCCGTCCTTCCTCCTCCTCCCCTCTCCTCCCCCTCCTCCTTCTCTCCTGTTTCCGGTTTCCAGTTTGGGGGGGATGCTCCGCGCGCTCCGCGGGCCCACTCCTCGGGCCTACTGTAAAGGCCCGACTCCTGAACGCCTGGCGGCTCCTTCTCGGAGCATCGCTAACTCTCCGGACAGCAACCCTTCGAGCATTTGGCGGGACATGAGTCGTCGGATGGCCTTGCATCCAGTGGGGGTGGCAGGCATGCAGTTTGCTCGAAGCTTCGTGTAAGACAAAACGTCACCCCCTTGTATGTACGGAGGTGGGGACGGTGTGATTCGTGGGCGTAAAAAACTCCAGGGTGGGGGCGGCAGGGTCGATTAACCCAGCGAGCTTTCCCTAGGACCCCTGCCCGAGCACACCTCACACTGGATTCGGTCGCAATGCTGCTCTATCGAATGTGGGCTCAGCTGAGCCTCGCGAAGCCGACGGACAAAAGCGTCCCTGGGGGCCTTCAAGGCCCCGAGTTTGGGCCCGTAGGTCCAGGCCAGAGATTGAATTACAGCAAGGCGCTTAACTACTAGGCTCATATCATCATCTTGTTTGCGAACATGCTCGAGAATCTCTTCAGGAAGTTCATAGAAGGTCGCTCCCCTCCTAGCTACTGCATCGGCAACGTGGTTGGCAAACTAGAATACAGCGTATACAACTCCAGACTCAAGATCCTATAGAGACGAGTGGGCCTTAACCTTGTCAAGGGTGATGGGGTGGGTCCGATCAGAAATATTGTTCCAACGCACAGTCCAGAGAAACAGTCTTGTATCTGTGGCGCCAAAGAGCCCCATGTCTATACCCCCGGATAACATATATACTATCGGTAATTAGCCCCTGCAGTCTGAGTGCGCTGATGGCAGCGATGAGCTCGCCGCGGTTGATGGTCTGCTTGCCTCGGACGGGACCAGAGATCGTGCCAATCGCACGGATGTCCTGATCGAACAATGCAAGCCCCCTATCCATTTCTCTTAAGCTTTGGATCTCCAGTGAACTTACCTCCCGAGGCATCAATTCCAACAACACGCCAATCGGAAAACCGATAGGTCCGGGGGACACGCAAGACTCCAGTTCCTTGGGGGTCCTCAGCACCATGACAATTAGTAGCCAGGCCAACTGTGTGCTCCTTTGGCTGTAGGCCTCGTAGCCAATTGATAGCACTGCCAGGAGCCTCTGCAACAGCTCGCTGGAGCAGGCGCCGTGAGTCTGCAATGGCTGGATGATAACGGGCAAGATCTGGGAGGCAGGGGCACGTCCAGTAGCAGTGGAGAGCATCTTCCTGCGGCTCCCCACACCTCCAACATGCACAACTGTCCCCGTCCCCCTTCATACCTGCAAGATGCCTGCGCTGCCCATGCCAGACTATGCCCTTGGCGACTGCTGTGGCGGCTGGCACGAGATAGGACTCGTCATCTTCACCTCGCTTCCAAGCTCTGGTGATGGCGCGAAACAGGTAGCTGTCAATACAGCTGGCAGGCCCCGATCCACAGTAGTATTGCGACGCCTGGGTCCAATATGTATTCTGAATGGTACGAGTCCTTTCCTGGATGAATGAATCTTGCTCGGGTCGGGGCCCTGGCCCAATATGAAAAACCGTTGAGATGGACTGGCCCAGAGCCACGCCATCGTAGCAGTCCAGCCAAAATCTAGCAGATAGGCAATGGCCGTGGAAAAAAGGGGGACCACTTTATTCCACCTCCCTTCCTTCGGGGCCAACTTATCCCAGACTCGTTTCCATGTCCTGGATAGACCCTGGCGAAGTTCAGGCTCCTGGTTTATAGTAGCAAGCCACAACTGGAACCACCTAATAGGAATATACTATCCAGGATCGGTCTCAAGGGCCCCTGTGTGGGGGATAGGGCATAGGCGGTCGCGGTGCATCCCGAATTCTTTGTGAGCCCCATGGCTCGGCAAAGCTGGCCGCGTAGTAAGCGTTGCTGGGTTGGACTGACTCCGCGCCCTTGAAATCCCCACGGGAGCTGCGGCTTGGCGCCCGTCGTGGCGAGCGCCCGCATATACTTCCTGCCTTTAGGAAGCTTGGAAATCTTGGCCAGCCTGACAAAGCCCTTACGTCGCCGTGCCCGTCGAACCTGGAGTCTCCGAGCTTCCCCAAGAGCGGCATCGCAGCCAAGATCACGCCCCGAGGAGTTAACGCGAACAGCAATACCGTGGCATTGCAAGGCCTGTGCAACATCCTGAGCCAGGGTAGGGCTTGGCGCCATAATGGCGCTTTTCTTCGACAGCGCGCAGCCTGCCCGACGAAGCCCCTGAGCGAGCGACTGGATGGCCTTCAGGAGCTGGTTTATAATTGCTTGCTCGGAGGCCCACGCGCGCACTCTCAAGTCGTCCACCCAGGTGCGGAACGGCATCTTCTGGACACGATGGTGAAAGTCGCGCAAGATATTGCGGAGGCATGCCCGGGCCAGGGGGCAGCTCTGCCCGCAACCTTGCAACGTAGATCCTTGCGGCGCAGCAAACCTGGAGCACCCGATGTCGGACTTCAAAACCCTTGTGGCCTTGTGAACTATCAGGGCCAGGGAAAGGGGCGGTCTCGGGCAGTCCAGGGAAGCCGCGGTCTCGGCGGCAACTTCGATGGAAATCGTGCCGAACAACTTTTCGATATCCAGGAGGGCCTCGGTCATCGGGGCCTCCGTGGAGCTGACGATCTCCGCGGACATTTCAGACAAAACAGCAGCGCGGAGGGCGTCATTTTCTCGAAGGGCTTGATCCCAGAAGCCAACCCCCTCGCTGTCCCATGCGGACAACTCAAATCGAAGAAGCTTGGTGATGAGCCTGTACAGCCCTGATGTCAAAGTGAGGGGCCTGTCACTCTCCTCATTCTTAGGCTGAAGGAAGATACAGTTGAGCAGCACCTGGATGGGGAACTGCTGGTAGAAACAGATGTCATTTACCAGTCCTGCCAGCAGCGGTCCCGCTTCGCCTTGTAAAAGCAGGAAGTCCCTGACGCGCCAACCATCGCCCCCTGGGGCGGCCGACGCCGAACACCATGAGGCAACTTCAGAAATCCTTTTGACCTCCCACGGGAAATAGTCCCAATCCCAAGAGTCCATGGCATCTTTCCGAATCTTCGTCATCCAGGGTGGCTCCAAAGGGGCGAAGTGTCGGCGTCCTTTGGGGCCCCATTTGGTCATCAAGAAGTCCAGCTTATGGTTATAACTTCGTAAGGGTCCGAGACAACATTACCTTGTGGATCCAGAAACGCATCGCGGGGCTCAGGGGGGTCTGAGGGGGCCTTTGTAATAACATGAGCAGCACCTGTCCCTTTCTTTAGAGATTCCACGAGAAACTGGTTAAAACCGCCCCTCGACAGCTTGAGTTCCTCCAGGTGGTACTTATGCTGAATGCGATCTATGATGGCGAGGGCGTTAGTCTGTGTGGCGTCGTCGCCATACCCCCGCCCATCCAGCGCTTCAGAAAGGACCCGAGCATCTTCAGGAGAAAGATCCGGAGCAGTGCGCCTCTGGCGGATTCGGGAGCCAAGAGACGGGGGTCAATGCAGACGGGGGTCAGCCAGGGCGCCAGATCCTGCAGGATCCTGCGGAGACCCCCTCTGGCTGACCCGGGTTAGCGAGCCGCTCGTGGCCGCGAGGCGGCCGCACATATTGGCTGACCCGGGTTTGCGAAGACCTGCGTTGCAGTTTTTTGTTCTTGCATTGCAGTTTTTGGTTTCTTGCTGACCCGGGTCTGGATTGACCCGGGTCAGAAGATCCCCGACGGATCGTGGAAATGGTGTCCTGAAGCCGTGAAATGTGGGCCCGACTAGGCCTTGGGGATCCTTTGGTGGGCTTCCCGTCTCTTGCCTGAAGCCTCATGCCTATGGTAGCCCATTGATGAGCTAGAGATCCCGCCTTGCCGTCCTCCGGAGCTGGCTGCAGGAGCGCGCGCCAGCCGAAAGTTGGGCTCATGCCCAAGTGGCCATCTGAATCATCAACTGCAAGGTCCTTCTGCTGGAGTTCCACTCCTCGACATATCTGCGCACGCAGATCGGAGAGGGCCTGATCATGATAAAGATGATTTACAGGGTACTGTGGGAGGGGGGTGCGTCCGACTTGGTACGTGGCTTCGGCTAAGGTGGTAGTTCCATTCCCGAACAGGTCCCGCGGGTCGTGGAATGGGGGCCGCGTGGCCCAATGCCCACACGTTCCTGGTCAGAGCAGTCCTGGATAGCTGCAGCTGGATAGCGATGTGGGGCGCCCATGGCCCTTCTAATTTCCTTGGTGCTTCAACGTCAGGCCAAAGATGTTTGTGAATGATGAAATAAGCAATCGCAGTTTCCCCATCCCTGTTGGCGTACGGAATGTCAGCACAGACCAGGGCAGCATTGAAACTTTGCAAGAGCCCAATGTCCTGGATGGCTGACGGCGGCAGATTGAAGTCCCCTCCGAGGACGAATGGCATGTTCATCTGCCTGATGAATGTAAAAGTTTCCTTTATTATCTCCCGATTCAGGCCAGTGTAGCCGATGGAGTCCCAGAGGTAGACACCCAAGACAAGGACGTCAATCCCCTGGAGTCGCAGGGTACAACAGGTCCACTGCGAGTCCGACACAACTGGAATTGGTCGTCCTCGGGCTCCCATAAATCTAGAATGAGTATGATACTGCGCCCGCGCTCCGATCAAAACGCCCCCATGAGTACCACCTCCAGGAGAACGCAACGCTGGGCACACATATGACTTCCAAGAACGCTTCTTCAATTTCTTGCGGCGGGCAGACAGGTCGGAACCTGCCAACTGCACTTCGGTGGCAATGAAGAGATCCAAATCGTTGGACTTCTCGAGAAAGAAACCCTCTGCCTTCCTCCCCCATGCAGTAATATTGGCAAGGTAGATCTGGATGCGACCCCGACGTCGGTTGGGGAGAGGACTGTAGAACTGCTGCTGCTGGCTGGCCAACTGCTCTGTCCTCTGCGCCACTGGCTGCATGCTGAGCGTCGGCGGCCTGCTGAGGTCCCCCAGGGGCGAATGCCCGAGGTGCACCTGCTGGTGTCGGATGGGCTGAGGCGGCCCCTGGGGTCCCCCGCCTCGCCCGCTTGTTGGCCCGCTGCTCGGCCCTGTCCAGGAGCCTCTGGAACTTGGGCTTGCCCTGGACGAGGCCCTTGAGCCCCCCGATGTCCTCGGCCGCGAGGTCGCCCAGGTCGCTGGCGTCGGAAACTTCGGACATGACGTCGTCATCTGGCTCCTTCTCTGCGCTTGGACAGCGGCGGCGCAGTCCCGCCCAGCGGCGGCGGCCCGAGCCTCGGCTTTGACCGGGGCCTCGTCTGCTCGATGCGTTGCTGCCCGTGCTTCTTCGAGCTGAACCTGAGGAGCTTGGACTCGCTGTTGTGCGTCGCCGGCATGTTTGGCAGCCCTCTCGGCCGCCGTCTGCCGCAGCTGGAAGATGGCCGACGAGTCTTTTGAGGGCGGTTGTGGTACCACTGCTGCTGCTGTCTTGCCACCCTCAGTGGCTGACGGTGGTAGCACGTGCCCCGCCTTGGCGATAAGTTCGAAAAGCTGCTCGAGGGTCAACTGCTGCGGTGGATGGCTGTCCTCCCCACTAGGAGTACAATGAAGCTGACCACATAGGCAAAGCGGGTCCTGCTTGAGGCGGTCCTGCCACTTCCACTTGCCGCAGGCGTCGCAGACAACATAGCTGCGGTCCTCGTTGCTCTTGGCACGCTTGGGCTGCTGCCAGGAATCCCACTGCCAGTTGCGCCACCCGCCTGGCATGGCAGAATTCTGGGGCGGTACGTGCACACAGGATGGTCGCTCCGACCGCGAAGCCCTCGAGCCTCGCCCTTCGGCTGCGACAAGTTCGAGCACCAAGGCGCAAGTGTTCGAACTTGAGCCAAAATGGCTACGGCTCCTCCTTCTCTCCTGTCTCCTGTGTTCCCTTTTTCCCTCCTCGCCACTTTCGTGGGCTCCTGGCATGCCCAGCGGAGGTACGTCCCACGCTGATCACCTCGGTACCTCGCCGCCCCCTGGGGGGCTTGCGATCTGCGCAACCGTCGCCACTCTCGTGGGCTCCTGGGAGGCCAAGAGGAGGTACGTCGTACGCAGATCACCACTATAGCTCGCGGTGCCCTGGGGGGCTGCGATCTTCCAAACTGTCGGCACTTTCGGGGGCTCCTGGGAGGCCCAGCGGAGGTACGTCATACGCAGATCACCACTATAGCTCGCGGTGCCCTGGGGGGCTGCGATCTTCCAAACTGTCGGCGCTTTCGGGGGCTCCTGTGAGCCCAGCAGAGGTGCGTCCCACGCTGATCACCTCGGTATCTCGCCGCCCCCTGGTGGGCTTGCGATCTGCGCAACCGTCGGCACTTTCGTGGGCTCCTGGGAGGCCCAGCGGATGTACGTCGTACGCAGATCACCACTATAGCTCGCGGTGCCCTGGGGGGCTGCGATCTGCGAAACTGTCGGCACGTTCGTGGGCTCCTGGGAGGCCCAGCTGATGTAGGTCATACGCAGATCACCACTACAGCTCGCGGTGCCCTGGGGGGCTCCGAAACTAGACGGCCCAAGAGAGACTCAAGAGAGCTCCAAGTCTGTTTAGCATCTAAGACGCCTGCGGCGAATCACCGCCGCCCCCTTCCTTTGGGGAAGCGCCCAGGTGGCCGAACGTTGAGGCCATTTTGACCCTTTGGGGCGTCTTGGAGTCCATTTTGAGGCCGTCCTGGAGGTCATCTTGGGCGTCTTGGAGGCCTCTTGGGCCGTCTCGGGGGCCTCTTGGGGCCGTCGTGGGCCTCTTGGGCGATCTTTGGGGGCACTTAGGCCGTCTAGGGCCGTCGCAAGGCCGAAACGAAGCAAATGCCACAATCCTTCAAAACCTAATTGCAAATTCATGATTTTGGCCTGTTCCGACCTTCCTGGAGGCCCTCTTGGAGGCCTCTTGGGCGTCTTGTGACATCTTAGGGCCATCTTCGGCCGTTGTGGGTTCATGGCCCGTCCGACGCCGTCGGAAGCCGTTTGGGAGGCCCCTCTGGGCCGACTTGGGGCCCTCTTGGAATGCTCCAGGGGTGGCTTGGAGGCTATCTTGGGCGGGTTAAAAGGCCTCCTGGGCCGTCTTGGGGGCCTCTGGGGGTCATCTTGGGGGCCTCTTGGGCCGCTCTGGGGCCATCTTGGAGGCCTCTTGGCCGATCTTTGGGCGATCTTTGGGGGCTCTTGGGCTGTACCGGGCCTTCGGATGGCCGAAAAGACGCAAATGTCAAACTCCTTCAAACACCTAAGGAAGATCAATGTTTTTGGCCTGTCCTGGCCTTCCTGGAGGTCCTCTTGGAGGCCTATTGGGCCGTCTTGGGTCAGCTTCGAGCCAACTTCGGCCATTTTGGTGGGCTCCTGGCCCGTCTGACGCCGTCGGAAGCCGGTTGGGGGGCCTCTCTGGGCCGACTTGGGGCCCTCTTGGGGTGCTCCAGGGCCGTCTTGGAGGCCATCTTGGGCGTCTTGGAGGCCTCTTCGGTCGTCTTTGTGCCCTCGTGGGGCCGTCTTGGGGGCTTCTTGGGCAGTCCTGAGGCCATCTTGGAGGCCTCTTGGGCGCTGTGAGGGCGATCTTGGGGGCCTCTTGGGCCGTCTTGGGTCGTCGGAAAGCCGAAAAGGAGCAATTACGAATATACTTCAAAAACCTAAGAAATTACTCCGACGGAAGGACCCCGCATGAGAATCCTCTGGGCGAATCTGGAAAAAGCGCTCACCGTCGTCCTCGTGGTTGGTGAGGCGTCCTGACTGTCTCTTCTGCGTATATTTCTTCTCGCCCTGGCGCGGGCCCTCCCCCCGCTCCCTACGTTGCCCCCGACCTCGCCCTCCTGTTTTTGTCGCGCCATTCGGCCGCCGATGGGTTACCACCGGCGGCCCGGAGACAAGGGGTTACCCCTGCCCCCGATTCGGCCGATGATGGGTTACCACCCCCAGCCCGGACGCAAGGGGCTACCCCTGCGCCCGATTCGGCCGCCGATGGGTCGCCACCGGCGACCCGTAGACAAGAGGTTACCC